AAAATAGTTAAGAATCTTTATAATTATAAAGGAAAAACAGAGAATTCTTAGATAACGTGAACATAACACACAACTTTCAGCAGAGAAAAGAAGCATAAAAAAAGATAACACTTTAAAAATAAAGCAAAAATGAATGTAGTATATCATGAAGCATAAAAATAATGATGTAAAATACAATTAGACTCTTGATCAACTTGGCTAAACATTGATTTTAGATTACTAACACAAATACTTCCAGATGCAATTAATTTAGGTCCAAATAAAAGGAAAAATTATATGATAAGAAAAATCTTCTGCATACACATTGCTTGAATAACATAGATGAAATCATTCTTTTGCATGCACACAGCCAGAATAATTGCCAAAACACAAAGCCCTAGTGTATAACAAGAACATAAAATTAGAAAGCTTGCCTCCTTAGTTGTCAGTATGTTTGCACCCTTAATATCCCGATGAATAACTCCTTGTTCATGAAGATAAACCAAACCTTCCAACACCTATCTCATTATATAATATATTTAGTACACAAAGAAAAAGCACATCCTGGAAAAAAGCCTCGACGAGTAGTCCTACACCTACTAACCTGGGCTATATATACCGCAACCAATGATTCTGGAAAAGGTCCAAATTTATTTGGCTTGATAATATTTGCAAGAGAACCATTTTCCACATACCTATGATACAGCAAAAGAGCATGAAAAAAATCTATTAACTCCACTGATTACCCTTCAAATGATGCTATGATTAAATCATCTAATGTTGTGAAAGAGTAGAACCCACTTACTCAAGAACTATGTGCAGGTGACTTTTTGTCTTAGAAGATCCAAGATACTTTACAATGTTTTTGTGGTTCAGATTCTGCAAAATAATAATCAAATTTAAAAACATGGCATCATATAATACCACTAAAGACAATCCAAATGTGCTCAGAACCCCAAGCTTTTTAGTATAAATCCCAAGATTAAGCCAATGAACTGTTCATTATTACAGCATCACCAAACATAGAAAGATAGCATAATAGAATGAATCACACCGTGCCACCTCTTGTTATGGCACCTCCAACTGCACACAACAACCAACGCATAAAGGTCATGTTTAATCTCTTGCAGTCGTCTCTCCCTGCTATCACAGCCATAATGGTCACTACACTATACATTTGCAAAAATTCAACCTCACTTCCATTGTCTATGGTTTCCCCACCCACTTTTTGGGAGAACTTTGTGATTCCCCATCCAAGGTTTTGGCACAAAGCTTTTTCCTTCATTCATGTTCGAGAACATGCATGGTATGGGGCACATATAAGAAAGGAAATCGTATATAATATCAATCGATAGATAAATTTTCCCAAGCTAGGCAAGGAGACCACGTTCCTTTTGTTCCAATTCAAGTCATATTAGTTTAAGAGTATATTTTAGTGAAAGAACATCCGTAGCATGCCATTAAAATCATAGCCTAAAGCTTACACAAACAATATACACTAAAAGAAATGGAGCAAATAACATGACAGCTATTCAGCAAAAAAAAAAATAATTCATAATGTTATCCAAAATGCAGTCCAATATTGAGGAATAGAAGTACCTTTAACAAATCAATCTCTTGCTGAAAACATTGAGCCATCCATCAAATGACAGCATAATCACAGGCAAAACAACAACCAGATTAGTGAATGGAGATAAGGAAATATCAATTATGAACGACATAACAGAATACTGACATTAAGATTTAGAGAAGAATTATAGTTGATAGCTAACATCAAAGTTAAAACTCAAAAGGGAGGGAAAAATTATACACGTTACATACCATGATGATGTTGAGATCCTCCTGAGCAATATTCTCCAAAGAAACTTGTTTAATGGCAACAAAATCTCCATTCTCCAGGTCCAAACCTTTGTAAACTCGACCATAAGCTCCTTTCCCAATCTCATCTCCCAGCATCTGCTCCAAATCTCACATACAAAATAATCAGCCATTAAAAAATTAATCTATTTTATGATCCAAAAAGTGTAAAATAAAATGTCAAACAGCAATAATAAAATTATAATAAAAATTCTCCAGTCAATCTCTAGACAAATTCCACCGTCCAATTCATCAGCAGCATCACCCGCCTCCGTTTTGCCTTCAAAATGAACATAGTGAATACACTAAGCATTCCTTTATCCTCATTCTAGCATGCACCACCGGTATTTTCATCTGACATCATAACAAGTTCCAACATTACCCCTGCACCCTAACACTCCATCCAGCCCAACCCAGCACCAGTACCAGCCACCATCCCATCACATTGCACTACTAACGTCACTAATATCCACGCAGGAGTCTCAATCTCAGGTTTCACCAACTACACTAGCACCCTTACCTACACCAACCCCATTCCACAGTTTCACTATGCATCTCATCACACTAACAACAAAGCAAACAATCATCCAAGTTCCTTCAACTGCACAGATTCCCAACAATCACAGAATCCTACAGCTAAAGCTTCCAACAATCGATCTTCAGCAACAGCAACATTGCGAGAAAAAAGTAGAGATCGAAAGACAACCAATGATCGAAGAGAGTGAAGGGGGAAAATGGCGTACATATTTATTGTCCAGAGTCTTCGATTTAGTGAACGCCGTCGTCGTCGTCTGGCGCGACATCTCGGCGAGTGCGGAGCTGCAATCGCAGAACGCAAACCCTAGAAACGGAACATGGAATCGCCGGAGAAGGAACGCTCCGATTTGGCTAATAAATTAATCAGTAAATAATGAGAGATATAAAATTAAAAAAGAGTGCTAATAAATAAATGTAAATGAAGAAAAAATAAATAAATAAGTGAATGTACGTCGAAGAAAGAGAGAAGAGAAGCTTGGGTTAAAGAAAATGGTTTTTGTTGTAAGAATGGTCAAATTGGAATGGAATGTCCAAATTCCTATCCTCTCTTCTCTCTCTTTCTCTTTCTTTTTCTTTCTCACATTACCTAGCTGGCAATGTGATGTCAAGACCTGTAACGTTTCCTAACTTTTCTTTCTTTTTCCTTGCTTTTTCAAAATTTATATTAACAAACACATACGTTTTCTTTTTCCTTTTTTCCACTGAGAAAATAATTATTTGACTCATTAAATTTTTTTTATATTTATTTGATATTAAGTTTTTTAAAATGGGGGAATTTATTTTTTTATACATTTTATTTTTATTATGTGTACCAAATAAATATAAATATACATATGTATATCACATTCTTTTTAGTCTCCAGAGTAAATATATTTTAAAAATCTTAATACTTATTTTGTTTACACTTTTCTTATATTTTTATAAAAACGGTTTAAGTTGGTTTTTTTTAGAATTTTATAAAAATATTCAAGTTGGTCTACATACGGCGTTACAAATGTAAAAATATTTTGTAGAGGTTTTTCATGTTATGTAAAAGTGATTAAATGAATCTTTAGTACCTCCTATATTATTTAGTTATTGATATATATATATATATATATATATATATATATATATATATATAACTATTAGTTGTATACATTTTTTCTTAAAATATTATTGCTTCTGGGTTTCTATAATGAGTATGAATTAAAAGGATCTTCTCCAAATTTAAAAAATTAAACTTCATTTTTATTTGAGAAATATTATTATTTTACTAGTGAAAAAAACAATTTATTACCAAATCAGAACACAATCTAGAGTTTTCATTCTTACAAATAAAAACAACTACGAAGTTGCAAATTATGATTATAAACAATAATAATAACAGAAATTGATTAAATGATAATATGAAAATAAATACGAGAGCACGCTAACAAATTCTAATTGATTCAAGTATTCATGACTAAACATCATCATATTAAGATAATAATTAATACATAAAAAGTTAGTGGAACTTTAAGTCACATAATGAAATTACAAAAAGAAAATGATAAATAAAATCTTAAAAATAAACAATGGATAATATATAAAGTACACGAGCGAGCGTAAATTCAGATGGATTTATTTACATCTATGTCAGTTACAGGAAAGTTTTCTTCTTTCTCCATTTTCCTTCTGACATTTTTGCTGTTGCTCTGTTTGTTGACTGTGAAGGTGAGAGTCTGAGCAATAATCACAAATGCTCCTTACATACTGAAAGTTGATTGTGATCACTACATAAATAATAGGAAAATGATACTTGAACAACCATTTTTGACAACATTTAGACACGCGCACACGTGTCAAAATCTGAGTGGTCCAGTTGGAAAAATTAAATGAAAATAGACCACTCAGATTTTGACACGTGTGTGCGTGTCTAAATGTTGTCAAAAATGGTTGTTCAAGTGTCATTTTCCTAAATAATAGTAAGGCCCTTCGTCAAGCCATGTGCTTCATGATTTGATGGGATTGATCGTAAATACTCAAATCACAATGTTGTATTCTCTTATGTAAGAATTTGTTGTTTGAACATATAGTTAAAGCTAACATTTGGTAAATACGTATAGATCAATATGAAATTATTTATTTTTGTATAAAGTACAATATTAGAAATATAACTTTTGATTTACTTTTATATAATAAAACAAAAATATCTTATTCAAAGTAGAAGTTTAAAATTTACTAAAATTATATTGATTTATCCAAAAAAATTAAAAGTGAAAAAAATTAAACAAACACAATGTAAATTTCAAAATCTCAAATTTTCCGAGTTTCAAATTAAGAAATGTTCTCCTGTTTTAAATATTATTCCTCCAACATAGTTAATCTCACATAATTTAAATTTGAACTTGGTTGTAAATTATACCTAGTATGACACTTTCAATAACAATTCATAAAATATACCTTTTACAATTTGACTCGTGGATTGAAATTTCTTATCACTAAAATCCTGTATGCAAAAGTTATTATACCATTATAAAATTATTGGACTATCCAACTATATTTACTGATTTTGACATAATATATAATCCTTAAAATATAAAAATATGAATCATTTAATTATTATCTCACCATTGTTCATTTTTTAAATTGTGATATATATTCAATTAAGGTAATATGTAATTACAATTTAACGGTAAAATTGTAAAAATACATTCTATAAAAGTAAGTATAACTTGCACCAATGTCCTCATATGTATGAATGAAACCATATACCAAAACCTAATAGATTAGGTTGCATTGCAAGTGTTTCTAAACCTTTTTTACATTATTAATTGCAAATACTAACTAAATCTGCAAGATGCTTGTGGTTGGAGAAGGTATATGTGAACTCACAAGGTGCAGTGATCTTTGAGAACTTGCCTAGCAAGATCAAGAGCACCACTTTTTTTGTAGATTAAATGCAAATTGTAAGCTGCCTCTCTGCGAAGGTCGCAGTAACCAGGTTTATGATTTTCGATGACATCTGGATTTTCATTGGGAAGTTTTGGAATTGGACAGTCTTTCTCGCGAATACCAATCACTTTCTCATAATAAACAGCCGCCAGAGTTACAAGGCCAACATGATGATAAGCCCGAGCTATGTTGTACAAGGATTCCTGCAAGGTTGTTCAGTCTCACATATTGAATAAATGACAACGTAAGAAATTCACGACAACAATCAATCTTCTGAAGTTCAGTGCCTGAATGCCTACATCAGCTTTTTCAACGCTTATTTGTATTTTCATTTAAAGGAACTCAATGAATTCAAGAATTTTTACACGGCAAAATGATGATCAACTGTGCATAATTTCCCACTGGATAGGAACTTACACTATATGTGCATTGAACTTAGACAGTCTAGTGTACAAGTAAAGGTAATATTTTTTTTTTCACATTGTCGCATTTATTATTAATATTTAATAAAACATTTTCTTCTTAATGGGCTAAAAAACTGCAGGAAATTCTCAGCAGACAAACCTGGCTGTTCTCACAGATTCTCAAGTTGTTGTAGAGGAATGCTAAACCTTGTACAAGACATTGATGCTTGTTCTGAAGTCTGAAACCCAATGCTAAGTTGATCAGGGCTGTTCCTGAGAAAAATTGATAAAATTAACTCATCAATTACTGTTAGTTCTTGGTTAGGAAAGCGGTACATACACAGCATGACATGAAAAGCATACCAACGCAGAGATTAACCAAGGGATTCTCTGGCAATAGTTTGTAAGCTTCAAGGTATTTCCTTGCTGCATCTTGATGATGGCTAAATATGGTAAACTGATGGCCAGAAATTAAAATAGGAGGCACACAGTCCACAAACTTTCCTTGTATAACACGTACAAATTTATAATGTCTTGTATCTCGGTTTTCCAATCTATAAACCAGGAGAGAACATGTAAACCACGTTTTACAAACAGGTCTTTGTTTATCTTTAGGTCATAAACCTATCACAACAAATTAGAAAGCCTAACCAATTTTGCCGAGAACACATGGTTCCATGCATTCACAAAATTACCTTGAGATAACCTTGTAGTAGCAATTCCAAGCTGCAACACTGTGTGGATGTTGCTGAACAATGTATTTTACACAATCAAACCCATGTTTAGGATCCGTGGTGCTGTATGCCATTTCTGTGGAGAACATAAATTTGTTTTATCAGCAAGATAAGCTTTTTCCCTCCCTAAAAGCATTACTTTTCTTTTTCTTTAAAAAGAACATTTATATTCTGAGTTGTAATAAAGGAAATATGTAAAGCTAAAGAAGGGAAAGAAACAAACATAAACATTAAACAAGCAGTGGAATTCTTTAATTTTTATTTTGATTTCTTCGAATGAGAAAAAGTTGGAACTTGAACGCAAAGAATAAATCTATAAGCAAAAGCCTGTCTTCAGGACTTACGAGCTCCAAGGGATCGAAGTTCCTCTTTCTTGTCAGTAGACAGAGATGTACCAGCCAATCTTAGAGAGAGATTAATAATCTCCAGTGCTTCCCAATACCTTTGCAAGGATGCTAATGCCTTGCACAACTGTCCAATAATATTAACGTGTCAGACATATATCAGAGGAAAGGGGGTGCAGCAAAAAAATTAATCGAAGTACTAACATCGATTATTAGCTGGTGATGTTCTTCATATTTCTGAAGAATGCACAAGGGAGGTTCTCTGTTTTCTATCTAAAAATATCTCATGCAATAAACCCAAAAGGGAGTTAAGACATAATCATCAAGAAATTTGTTCTAGAATTGAGTAGACAACACTAAACGGATCACCTGAGGTTCATCATCTGAATCATCACTTAGCCAATCAATTCCGGAGGCCAGTGCCTCAGCTTTTCTTTTCTCCTTTTCAATTGCCATCTTCTGCAGCAACTTTTTTGCCCTGGAAGCTTTCAACCTAATTACAGAAAACACATTCTTTTCACTTTGTATCCAAATCTAGCAATGGCCAACAACATGAAAAAAGCATAAACACTAAGACAAATTATTCACCCAAAATATTTTGTAATATCTGCAATGTAGGTAGTACATCCAATGCACAGATACATGTATTATAGTTGCATCACACAGATATTGCCAAAGGGATGCTATCCTATGGTTTTCCAAATATAGAATAATAACGGAGAGGATACATTGAAGTAAATGTTTGAAGTCATAGTATCATAATATTTGAAAAATGAAAATTTAGGTATAATAATACTAATAATACTCTTTCAATTTCAGAAGGTTTAAGGTGACGATAACAAAAATGGCTTCCCAACATTGCACAACTCCAAATACCTACTTAGAGGGAGATTGGTATGATTAAATTTGAGTATGAGGACCCACATCAATTAAACAATAGTAAGATCACTAGTTGGTTAAGGTTAGGGTTAGTTAACCTGGCTAGTGCACCGTGGCTAGTTAACTATGGATAGTTAACCGTGACTAGTTAACCGTGGTTAGTTAACGGTGGCTAGTTATTCGTGGCTAGTTAATCATGGCTAGTTAACTTAACCGTAGCTAGTTAACCTTTGGCTAGTTAACCGTGGCTAGTTAACCGTAGCTAGTTAACCGTGGCTAGTTAACTGTGGCTAGTTGACTATGGCTAGTTAACTGTGAGTAGTTAACCGGGGCTAGTTAACTGAGGCTAGTAACTGGGACTAGTTAATTGGAGCTAGTTAATCGGGGCTAATTAACCAGAGTTAGTTGTTATAATTTGAGATAATATCTCTAGAATCTTCCTAATTAGAGGAAATAGATATATAATCTTTATTTTATTTTACTTTCCTAATTTCCCTTTATTTTACTTTCCTAGTTTCCCTATCTCCCTTTTTAGGAGAATTAGATTATTACAAATAGAGAGTATCAGAATATATTTTTTATGATTGAGAATAATAAATCAGTCTTATTTTCCACATTAGTTAACCGGGGTTAGTTAATCGGGATTATTTAACCAGAATTAGTTAACTGGGTTAGTTAACCGAGGTTAGTTAATCAAACCATAGATCACCCATAATTGAGTTAGAATATGATTAACGTATACTAGGAAACGACACAAACACTTACCGGTCAGATGGTGCAGCTACTGGCCTGAATCCTCGAAATACATTATCATTTTCTGGACCATCTACCATCCTAACCCTTTCGACCAGATCTCTTTTGGTGAGTCGCCTTTTTGATTTACCCTACAGCAATAACGCCTTTTGAAAATTCAAATCAATTTTAAGATCTACTTGAAATAATGTAGTTTATCAACATGTTAACATTCTGAAGCAAGCAAGAGGCATGCCCACATAGGCGTTCAAGAGCATCTACCAATCAATATGTATTTGACTGTGTGCCAAAGGGGTCAAATTTTGGCTTCTCAAATATTACCTTCTGTCGAAGAGTTGCAACATCTAATGATTCACGAACCAAAGGGAAAATTTTATCCACAAAATCACCAAGTGTCCCTCTATTTCTATAAATGTTGCAGAGCTTCCGTTTTATTCTTGTATTAACCCACCATCTATTTGACTTTTCAGGATTTGCATCACCAGAGTCTGCAAGTTTTTCACATTAAAATCTCCATCCAAGAACTTCAACTGTAGAGAAAGAAAACGTTGGAAATACCAGAATCATTTGGAGGAGACAACAAGGAAATTGCTTCATCTTCTTTTCCCTCTTCAAGCAGAAGGGAAGCTAGAGTTATCCGTGCATCAACGTCATCTTGTAGTATTTCAAGGGCTGAAACAAAATCTTGTTTAGCAACCAGGGAGTATGAATATTTCACAGCAGAACAATCATCAGGAAGCAACAACAGAGTATTGTTTCACTGTCACTGAATCTACATGCACTAGCAAAACAATACAAGCCTAAAATATGCTCTTATAACTCAAGTCAATTATGAAGTGATACAACGATTAGCATTTTGAATTTGACATACTTCCCTTTTTCTCCCCTTAACCAATAATTCAATAGTTAAAATTATAGTATTTTTATAAACAAAAAGAAGATAATAAAAAGTGGAATAAAGGGAAGCAGATAAGATAACCTCAAAAGAAAAAAGTGAAACGATAAAACCAAGAATGAAGCATGTTTAATTTCTTTGCAAAACCTGAAACCAAAACTCATTGCGACATCCATGAGCAAACCAGTAGAGAGAAGCTACAAAAAAAAATTCCTATTCCAAATCAAATATAGAGTGAAAGACACTCTTAAAGTTGTAATTATTTCCAACGAATGCACCAATCTCACAAGACAATTACATAAAATTAATGCCACAAAATTTTAGCTTGTTTCTTCCAAAACGAATAAACCTGAAAACCAGCAATTACATGTTTCTCCACAGTAAAGAAGCACACAAAATATCAAAGAAAAAACTACAGAAAGTTCATTCCAAAACAATGTAACTGTCTTTGAATGAAGAAGCTAATGGGAAAGCTCACATATCAGATTACTTGAAAAATGTAAACCTGTCTATTGATCTATATGTGAAGAATGCATACTATTAGATCTTCAGTTATGTTATGCATAAAAAGTTTACTCAAAAGTAAAGCAATCCAAGAATACATTTGAGAACTGCCTCGGTTCTATGATGTTAAAGTGAAATCCTACTCCCGCAAGAAAAAAGGATGGACCCAAACTAAAAGATTTTGGCAATAAAAAATAATTTCAGAAGCTTCATCACAAAAAGAAATGATCGATACAACATTTCATTTATATTGAAAAACAAAGGGGAAGTGGTTTTCACAAGGTATCATTAACTAAATAACATTCTCTTTAAAAATAAAATCTTGCCTTTGTAAAAAAAAGTAATTGCTTGTGAACTTTCTTTCAAGGACCTGTAACATTTAGCAAGTTTCAGATATAGAGGACCCTGCAAGAAATAATTCCAGTAAGAATATAGAATATCGTGATAACATAGTGATGATGACGAAAGGCATACACTGAAATATATTTCTAAACTAAAATAAATAGTATCAGGCAACCGAAAAGAGCCAAAGAAAATAGAATAAATTGAAAACAGTAAACAATTACATTTGATACTAGATACAATAGACAATACAGTCCCTCTATTATGTCCTTCCAACCAGCTTCACGAAAAAATCCCAAGTAGTCTCACATCGAAACATAGAAACTAAGAAGAGTGCATAAGTGGGAGACAACTCTCAAGCTCAAAAGCCACTTTGTTGGGGGCCTTTCAAGCTAGTTCACGGGGTTTAATTAGCTCCAAACATAAATCATATGAAGGTCTTATTTTATTGAATATAGTAAAACTAGATATAGAATTAATCTCCCTTATGTCTAAAACACACAGAGTAATATATTTATAATGAAGAATGATACAAGTATATATGACAACCAAATATAAATATGGAAAATAGAAGATGTTGTTAAAAACAATATGAACAATATGTACCAATATCAAGTAATAGCAAAAGTCTATGTTTCTCTAATTAACATAAAACGCAATTTATTTAAAGTTGTTATAGTTTGATCTATTAACTAATCACCTCCATAAAAGTGTTTCTTCCTGCACACAATCTTTTTGAGCCACCCCATTCCTTCGGTAATGGGTTTTTATAACAGAATACAATTGATTTTCCGAATGTACATTTTTACTTCAAAATACGTCCAAAATGAATGGGAGGTGGCTCAAGAAATCTATTGGGTACAGAAAGAAATACTATTATTACTCAAACAACAAACCCAATAACATTGGGCATGAGGAAATGTATTAGAAAAACTCAAGTAGTCAATAACAATACTGATTAGATAGCACAATAATCAGATCATTTTTTGCATTTTTTAGTGTTCATAATAACTTTTGCTCATTTTTGAAACATGAATTCTCTTTTATAATTTAAAAATTATAGATGTGTTATCCAATATTTTTAAAATTGGTTGCATTCCTGTGTTCATGTCCATGTTTTATCATACCCATCTCTTGTAATTGTGCCTACTGGATAGGTCAATAAGGATCAAACTCTAGACCACTCAGTCATGGAACAAACAACACCCCTAAAAGCTTGAGTTATTATGTAAAGACACAAGAATGATTTTATATTATATTTCTAACAAAAATATGGACAATAAATTTAAAGATTCCAATATATACAGCCCCATCAAATTATAAGACAAAAACAGTCACCTAATTAAGCAAATTACTGGTATAAAATTAAACCAATAATTGGCATACATGGGCAGGAGTTACCATACATTTTCGTTTCCAATATTTCCTTCCAACATCAAATAGTAATTCAATGCAGGGTTATAATGTTCAAGACCCATTAATGAATCAGCAACCTCAATAACCAAGTCAACATGCTTGCTTGCATTCTCTGGTTTCAAATCATTGAAGAGAACCTAGTAATCAAATGAAATGTTAAGTAATACATAAAAATGAAACCAAAGTCAAAAGAAAGATTCATACACTGTCATTACATGTATTATTAGACATTTTCTTGCACTCCAACATTGTATGAAATTAAGTTAATGAGAAACATGGAAAAAGTAACTTAAAAATAATGATATAATGTGCTTCAAAAATGGGGTTGGAGAAGAAAGAGAGTTGTACACGATTACAAAGACTACGAAATTAATCCTTTTTCTTAAGAAAAGAGGCCATTTTATAAGGAAAAAACATTATATACAAGATGACCATAAAGTTAAGTTTTCTTATTTAGAATAAAAAGAAGAGACAACAAAAATCTACATAAAATAGGAAATCAGCAAAACATTACGTGCAAATCTCATTCAAAACCCAAGCTTCATAAGGGATATATTACATGGAGGGAAAATTATGGTGGATAGGTCACAATGTGTGTTACACATAAATTGGTCAGGACACAAGAAAGAAAGAACATATAGAATGAAAGAGAAAAAAATCAAGATAACTAAGAAAGTCTAAACTAAATACTCATCCAAAGACACGAAAGAGTATCAATTAACCTAACCTAATATATGAGGTTCAAGCAAGATTAAAAGGGGCCGTGATCAAGAAAAACACACTAAATTCAATTATAAGTAAGCATGAGTCACACCTGAGCCATTTCCATTTTTCCAAGATGAGCATGGCAAATTCCAGCCTTAATTTTCAAATTCAACGGTAATTCTTCCCATGCATTTGCAGCTTGGGCATGTTTAATATACTGCAAAGCTCTGTCATGTGCCTTAGTTTCCATCAATATGGTACACAGCAGATCAACTACACTCGCATTTGCTCCGTCCAGTTGACTCTTAAGATAGTCTTCAAGAATACAAACAGCATGCTCAACTTGACCACATTTTTTGTACAACTGATAGAAAGCAATATAAATTCAGTTTGACATTGAAAATCAATTTATTAACGTGTAATAGAATAAAAATATTATCAGCTCCCAACCCTATACTTTTTGCATGTATATAAAATAATTTAAAGTTTACCCCTCTCGAACATTACCTTTTATACACATCTGTTTACCATTTCAAAGATGTTAGTTACTGTATATAGATACAGTCCATATAACATACAAGCATATGCGATAAATGCATTAATAAAGCATCACAAGGCAAACTGTGATTTCCATTAGAAATAATCGTTAACAGAAAAACAAATTGCAACAAAATTGAATCCATGTCCATGGTATCTCAAAGCAAAGACTAACCTTAGCTGCTTCTTTCAGTGGATCAACATTCTCATAACAGAGTTGATGTACTTGCTCATATGTAACAGCAGCTTTTTGATGGTCTCCAAGTTCAACATAAAGCCCTGCAAGATCACATCTAAGCGTAATATTTTTGGGATCTGCTGTTATTGCTTTTAAAAGACAATATCGTGCTTGATCTTTATGACCTTGTTTTCTGCACTTGAAAAAGTTTCACAATTCAATAATCATAATATTTCTTTCAGCATTGTTTGAAAGTAATACATGCATAATATTTCAAGGACATTACTAGATGAAATTTTAACCATCATCAAAATTGAGGTAGGCGTATAGATTCATGTAGTCAAATTATTCCAAAAGAATAACTTCACAAAAATAAACAACAAAATTAAGAAGCCATCTCACATGGACAAGTTAAAAATCATTTCCCAAAGAGATGAATATTTAGTAGGATTCAAAAGAGCAGCAATTAGGTAAAAAGTCATTGTTCCTTTATCATCCTGGAGCGAATTACGGACAAGTCCAAGGGTGTGATAAGATTCAGCCACATTCGGTGCCAACTTAATAACTTCAAGCAGCACATCTTTAGCCTGCAAAAAAACAACAGAGAAAAGGAATGCATAAATAATCTGCAAAAGCCTAAAGCAATGATAAAATCTATAACATAAATCAAGCTTTGACAGATGCAAAAAAAATTAAGAATAAAAAAACTAAACACCCAGAATATAAATCAATCATATCTATTTGTCTCAACTATGCCATCTATCATAGTTGAGACAAACAAAAATGGAAAGTGTTAGAGCATTTCCAGGAACATGAATATAACTTCCAGCTAATGAGTTTCTCCTGGTGGCAACCATATCTCTCTGAAAAGCAAGACATACTGTATTAGCCCAATAACAAATAAGTGAGGGTAAAAACATTAATTTGATCAGCTTGAATTTGCTTAAATCTTAATTAAGAAAAACAAAGGAAAACTTCAAGAGAAACAAAGGTTGATTAGGAAAAAGGGATCCAAAAAAGGTATGCCAACAAACAAAGACATACATAATACCCCAGGTTGCGTCAGATGATTATATGCTAAAGGCAAAAAGAGCCTAGACAGACAGAAATAGTATCATTTATTGTATCTCTTTAGCATCCTAAAAAATAAATTAATAGAGTACAGTGATTTACTTATCTACTTTTTTTCCTCAGCATACTGGGTATCTGTGACACTAAATAATAGAAAACTCCAGTGACAGAAACTAAGGAAGTCATGTGACAGAATAATATACCTTGTCATAATCCTTACATGAATAGTGAAGATTGGCATCACCCAGCATCCGTTCTATCTTAGGATCCATTTTATTCTTCGATCCTTTTCGCCTGCCTCTCTTTTTAGGCTGCATCAGACAGATAGAGAATACTTAAAAGGGTCATGTAGGTTACATTAAAATTTAAAACAGAAGGTAGTCACATAACTTGCAACTGAGTGCTTACATTTTCACATTTTCATCTACATCTGTTCTAGGTTATGGATATTATATGTATAAGAAATAAAGAATCATAAGCATATGAAGAAAATGGTATACAATTAAACTAATGATAAGCTATCATGTAGAACAGAAAATTCAGGGAAAAAAGAGGGGGAAATTGTAAGAATGAAACTAATGTAACCTGCATATAAAAAATGGAAACAGCTATGAGCAAAAAATGCAACAGGCATGACCACAGATCTTAAATTTTCTTCCAAAATCATAACACCAAACGTATTCCTCTAATATCCACTCTATTGCTGGAGATCAAAACTTGTAATCTACCTTATAATATAAAAGAATTAAAGGAAAGTTATCAACTTCTTTCTGGTGTAGCCTTTGCTTATGACTGGCAAACTGCTATAAATGCATCAGGAGACTAACAAAAAATAAAGGAAGGCAATCAACTTCTTTCATGGTAGCCTTTGCTTAAGTAGAAAAATAAATAAAAGAAAAGAAATAAAATATTTTTTGAAATCTGACACAATGATGAACTACCAATTTATCTTTCAAAGCTTACTTGTCAATAGAGACAACCAGACAAACTGCAAACATAATATATTATATAGGCTAAACTGGCATATGCACTGCATGGCATACCTTTCTTGATCTCTTGCGCACACCATGATAATTCATTGCTTCCATTATCTCAGCTATCTTTGACCCGGAAATATCACTTTCCCTAGCCATCTTAGAAGGTGGCTCTTCACTGCATTTAGTGACATAAAATAGCATGGATCAAACAAACATCAAAAAAGTAAGCAAGCGCGAGTTATTTTATCCTTGTTTGATACATTTAGAATTTATTCAACCCTTTTAGCACCTGAACTCAATCAAGAATTATCAGTACATCTCACTGAACAAGGGATTCAAGGTTTCTGTTTTTTATTTTAATTTTTAAAATCCAATACTTTTTCTCTAATTTTTGTATCTACAAATAAAAATTAAGTTTCACAATACATTTCACAGCAACGACAACAAAAAAACAGGAATTACCCATTTTTATTAATGAATCGATAACCAGATGAGAATAAAGATAGAGTCCTATTCCAAAAGAAATTATGAGGGTTCAAGTCTAAAAATTCTGATACATTTTCTAATTTTTTTTCCTATATCCTCCTTATTAAGTCCTATGTGTCGATTTCTTATTTTCCAACTAAATTGGATTTTGTATTTTCATCATTTCGATACCATACATATTAGTCTCTCATACATATTAAGCTTACAGCATCGCAATTAATTAGGGCGGAAGAAGCCAACGGACCTGTGGCATTCAGTTGCTTTTCGCTTTTTATCGGCGAGAGCTTCCTGTTCAAGACGCTCGAATCGCTCGTAGGGTAGAAGGCTAGAGTCATTGTTATCGACAAAGTCCAAAGGATTCATCCCGTTTTCGAACCTGAAAATATACTCATCCTCTTCTTCCATGTCATTGTCATCTGCGTGCTCTTCCTCTTCCTCTCCCGTGCCGTCGACGGCGTGGTTTACTTCATCAAATTCGTTTCCCTCTTTTGCCATCGGATTCAGACGCTGCTTTCAGTTCTTCCACTCTTACTTCGATTATCTCTACTAAAAATTCGATTATCTCCCTAAAAGATTCGAAATCATATTTTAACCGTATTTATAGCTTCTGATTTATTTATACTTATTAACTAATATTTAAACTTTTACAATGCACAAAAGTACTTATAATTTATAACTTATATGTTATAATTGAAATTTACAACAAATAAATAATTCAAAAATCAAACTTGAATTATTTTACAGTTAAGTAAATTTATTATATTATTTCATTTTTCAAAATAATACTTTTTTTTTACATTTCACCTTTAATAATATATTATTTACATCTCTTATAAATATATTTTATTAATTATTATTAGTTTTTGTGATTTTTTTCACTCAAAGTTTCTCTAATATAAAATTTAGATTTTATTTAAAAGTAATATTATTTTTTTAACGAAGTTGTTAAATTTATGTATAAATAAAATATTTATTATGTATAAATAAAATATTTATAAATGAATTTCATTATTTAAAAATACAATTTCTTTAAAGAGTATTAAGAAGTAGAATTTAAACCAAACTCAACCTCACAAAACCTGTGAGTTGAGGTTTGTAACCACTTAAGTATTATAAATTGGTTTCATCTCTAGTTGATGTGGAATTTTCAACAATAAAGTAAGTTGATTTTCTATCTCTCTATTAGTATGGTTTTTCTTCTTCTTCTGCATGTGGTCATTTTTGGCTCATAAATAGTGTTTATGTTTTTTTATGCCTTAATCACATTTGTGTTGCTTATAGGGTATTTTGAACTTCATGTGCATTTAAGAGTGTTTTAAGGGTTATCAAGCTGTTTGATTGCTTTTTAGGTAAGGAAAGGTAGTTACTTGTGTGTGTGAGTTTGATAACTATGACATTATTGGTATGTAATTTGAATTTTGATTGGTGTTTGTGTCTAAATTGAACTATGGGATTTGATGATTAAATTGAACATCTTCAATAACGCTTGGTAGTGGCACCGAATGCAAGTTTGGTTGTGCAAGTCTTGGAAAATTTTTGCCTTAAATCCCTAAGCACCCCTTTTTACCGATGAGCACCTAATTTTGTAATTCTGCAGGTGAAACTCTATATCAAAGGCATATATCCAGATAATATCAATTATTTATGTGTTTGTGTGAGTTATAGCACTTTATCCATGGTGAGCTAGTATTTAATATGAAATAATTGTTTTATGTTATTCCTTTTCCACACTAGCTTATCTTATTTTTCTTTTCTTTTATGTATTGTTGTGTTTTTGCGATGATCAACTCTAAGTGTGAATAGGTAACGAGTTAAGTATTAATATGTCTTTTGTGATAGGCAAAGACATAGTTATAAATTTTTATCTAGTTTATGTTGTATAAGAGAGATTATTCCTCTTAAATAACTTTTAGTATTTTTCAGTTGTGCGATAATCTATTTAATAATATGAATAATTGTATTAATTTTTTATATTTATTTATTTATTTGTTGTATCTTATCAAAATTTATCATGTTTTACTTTTGAAAGTTTTATAGTATTAAATGAGATGTTTATACAAATACAATATTACAAGCTTCAATGCCTTTTAATACTTGTATTGTAATTAAGAAAGTTTTAACGCTCTCATATGTTTAGCATTTTTAGTGGACTGATTTATTTTTTACAGTAATTAAAAGATTTACGAGAAATGGAGAAACAAATTTAAGAAACTGAAATTTAGAATTTATCTTTTCATTCTAACTCTTTCTTCTCCCTTTCCTTTCCTTTTTTTTTAACCATCAAATTTTTATATAAAAGAGTCCAATAAATTTTCAAATATATAATTAACTTTTGTGCGTGGAATAAAAAATGTGAGATTTTAATTTATTTATTTATTCAAAGTAATTTAAAATTTAAAATCAATTTCCAAAAAATTCACGTCTAAGATTATTTTTTTTCTTTCAAATACACAGATAAAAATAACTCAAAACGTTTATTAATTAATAAAGTTTCATATTTAAAATAAATAAAGAATAGTATGATGTCCATCTATCATAGCTTGAGTATTTATGGCCGAAAAGAAAAACGCCTAAACCACAAAACTACTGACCACAAAATATATTTCACATCTGGGCGTTTCAAATATCTATGGTCAAATATTATCATAAAACAAAAACTACTGTTTTTTATTTTCCATCTCTTTTCTTTGTGGAAGCTTTCGTATGCTACTTCGAAAAATAACTATTTACCTTATATTCCTCTAAAAAATGAAACTAAAATCTCCCGTTGGACCTTAAATCCCCCATTAGACGTGTTAGACCGTTTATGTGAAACGAAATGCTGAAATCATCAAAATTTACAGGCACACAAATAATCAAAAAAACAAATAAATGCTAAGAAAATTATCACATTTTAGAACTTCATAACATCTTGATAATCTATCAGAGCAATTGCTACTGTAATTGTGGAACAACAAGTGGTCTATAAAAACCAAAACTAATGTCTGTATAAAAAGAATATTCAGGCACTCAACTAGAAATTTGTTCAACTCATGTGGATCTAATAATTACTGCAAGTGCCCTTCCCTTCTATATAATTATATCAAACTAAAAACACCACACGACAGATAAACTGCAGTACAACATTAACTCAACTTCATTGATGCAAATTTTTCTGCAAGATCCATTGCCTCGTTAACGTGTGCTGCATCTGTACCCTGAAAAAAGATATGGGTACACATATCAGTAAATATCAAATGGAACGGCACAATGCACACCAGAAATTCTCCTAATTGATGAACATTTGTCTTCACTTGTGAAAAATATTCCCAGTGCTGATGGTTGTCGGCATACAAAATTCAAAGTGACCAAACTCTATTTGGACAAAAGGACTTCAAACTATATAAAATTATAAGATGTCTCCATAAATAAGTCAGGTAGCTCCGAAACAATTGCCTAGTTTTAAAATAGTGAGGCTGGAACTTGAATTTTCAAAAACTAGTTTTATTTTGGCCAGCGTTTAAGTTCAAATCAAATCCAACATAAAGTTCCATTATTTTTCTCTACCCCTCTTCTCCAAATACGTTTTAGAAAACAGTAATCAATCTCAACAAAACTATAACTAATATTACATCAAATCAATTCCAGAAAAAAAAAAAAAAACTGGACCAATTAAGAATAATTTTAAGCCAATTCAAATTTGCAATTTGCATATACAGTACATGATCAAACTTTCAATTAAAACAACGTTTCTGAACCTACGTTATAAACTAACAAATTTCAATTGCTCTTAGGATTGTTGAAATAAGTTGTGATATAAACGATTAAAACCCACGACATCTTGAGCATTATCCTAGACCCTGGAGATTAAACATTAGCTACTTATGTGCAGAGATTAAAGTAATTAGTCAATAACTAACCTGACCCGTTGCAAGACCACCTTTTCCTTTACCACATCTCCCTTTTAGAGGCCCCAACGCATTACTCAGCCACTCTGCCACATCCAGCTTACCTTTATCTCCTTTCTCTGGCACCCCAGCACAAATTACAGCCTTGTTTGTAGATTCATCCGTGCTAAAAACCATCACAGATAAGCCCTATTTAACATCCAGCATCATTAAAAGTTAGTGTTTGATTTTAACAGAAAACTTAAATACCAGGAATATGACATCTCAAAGTATATTCATCCATACGATGACAACTACTAAATGGCGCCAGAATTAAAATCAGCAATTACCTTTTGGTCCATCACTTTTGTAACAGCCTCACGAACTGCAGCCACATCCAGACCAACATTAACACGAGATATGCAAAAAGTTTTCCCGTTAGAAGCAGCAAGCTCAGCTTTCTCAGCTGTAATATTTACAGCTTTACGCTTGTTTTCCTCAGCAATCTGCTTCTGTGCTTTTCTCACTTGGTCCTACAAGAAATATGATATTATTAAAATATATCACTAAATCCATGAGCAAATTAAAGGACAAGAAATAAAAAATGCCCTATATATAATACCTGAAGTCGGGCTATCTTTGTCTTGATGTCAGCTTTCTTGGCAGCAGGAATTGATAAAGTTTCAACATTGTTTTTCAATGATGAAACTTTCTGTAAGGGAAAGAGAAAATCAGGTGACTACAATTCTGGAAGGGAAAGATATGTATGCAACATATCTATAATCTATCTGCTAGAAAAATCGTTGTTGATAACAAAGAAAGAGAAAAGGAGATCAAGAGACAATCATGTGAAAGAGGGCATGCACTAACTTCAGCTGTTAGGCTCCCAACTATGGTGTTTGAATATTCAGATAATACTAAGTGCATGACGGTGGTTCAAGACAGACAAATCAGTACACAACTACATATTCTAGCTGCCCAAAATGAGACAAAAAAAAAAAACTTATTAGAATACATTAAAGCCCAGCCTAGTAGTATCCATACCATTATAGCAGCACAAACTCCCATCTTCCTCCAAGGCTAAAAATGAAAGGAACTTTCAATGCATAATAAATGTATTTACCAGTTTCTCTGTTAGTTTAGTAATTCAATCAAGACTTCATGTTCACGGTCTCAAGTATTTCCAATATACTGAATAAGCTCCATTAGGCCTTGATATTGGGTTCAAAACTAGGAATTTTTATACGCCCAACATCTAGTTTGATAACTATCCTTAAAACAAGCAATTATAATCCCCAATTTGGTAGCTGGTTCAGTTAGTTGTATGCTAGTTCTGTTTTTCCCATCTACGGTTATTAGATGTTATGGAGCCAAACATTTCGACTTGTTGAATTGGCCAACTAACTAGAATAGAAAGGAAAAAAGTACAAGCCTAATTTTCAAAAAAATCTTATGAATAGAAACCCAAATACCAACCTCTTCCAACAAACTTCCATCTAACTTAGCTGCTTCATCTACTTGCTGCTCCAATTCATCTGCCACTTTCATTGCATCATAAGCACGATCAGTTGTGACAGCTGTTATTCTGCGTATGCCTTTTGCAATGCCCTCCTCAGATAAAAGTGCAAAAGCTTTTGCCTCTCGTGTGTTTGAAATATGGGTGCCTAGATCATCAACTAAAAATGAAGAGCTTCCAATAATAAAGAAAAAAAGACCTTCAAAGAAAGCATTGCTACAATATTCACCTCCACATAATTCTGATGAAATAGATAACCATTTTTCATTGTCAGGGTCAGCAAGAAGATCCTCAACTTTTTGTCCAATTGACACAACTCTAACAGGATCGGGATAGACCTACACCAAGGCAAAATATTGAGGAACATGATCCAGGAAAAACTAAAAATGATGGGTTAAGTTGAAGTTATGATTTTGGGATGAGTAAAATGATCAAACTAGTTATATAGCTTATTTGGTTAGAATACTTGGGTAACATAGGAAAGGTATTAGGTTCAACTCCTATAAGGAATGGCAACAACAAATTTTACGTGGTTGGTGATCTTTTTTAGCATAGATGTCTTGGAATTGTAGATACATTTTTGGGTTGGGTGCCTAATTAATATATATTGGCAGTGACTAAATTGTGGGTTGCCATGGGTAGTATGAGGTTTAATAGGTGCGGTGAATAAATAGTTATAAAAGGTTTTGCTAGTATGTTATATATAATGTAGATTCTAATATTTTATAATATTGTTAGGATATTATACATAATATAGTCTAAATAAATTATATATTGAGTGGGAAAAGTTAGTTTGGATTAATGTATGTGTGTGTGTTTGTGTATATATATATATATATATATATATATATATATATATATATATATAGTAAATTTAAGGTAATTTTATAAGAAATCCGGTGTTATTTTGTTTTATTTTATTTCTTTGAAAATATGTGTTGGTTGCTAGAATGAAAATATGTGTCTCAGAAAGAGGTAGGGGACTTTGCTCATAAGACTCTCTAGGAGGGCAGTGGAAAGTGGATCCTGAAGACTCCACCCATGGAGAAAAGAGAGGGTGGACTCTGTTCATAAGACTCTTGGTGGGTAGGAGGGGTTTTAGCTCCACAGGAACTAATGACCCGTAAACTTTGCATGTGGTACAACTCGTGAACTTCGCCAGGAAGTCTCTCTAAGAGAACAGTGAGAAATGAGCTCTGTCTGTAAGACTCTGGAGCAATCAGGAGTTCTAGCTCTTATGGTGAGTTACAATTGAAAACCTAATACCTGCTTAGTTCTCGAATATCGGAAGGTTGAAAACTCTTTGGGAGGGTGTAACTGCTATGAAAGTAGTTTATCAGCCTTTATGAGTCAATGTCTTGCATTGAGACCATTTGTGTGTGGAATTGGGGTGTCAGATCGCAAGTGGTTCTATTGTTGCTTTGAAAACATGTTTTGAGCTAGGATATGATCATGGATGGGTTAGAAGGTTGGTTGAGGGATATGACATGATTTTTATATTGTTTAGTTATGAATTGTGATTATAAGGTTGATTGTTCGTGTGTTAGTTCACCCTTATTTTATTTGGTGATTTCTATATGCGATGATACGTATCGTTTTTATACGAGAGCATACCATCGTATAGGTGTTGAGGAAGATGCAAAACAATAAGGAGAATGGTCAATATCGAGAGATGTTTGAGATAAAGTTTTAATCTTAGGTTTTCCCTTTTCAACAAAATCAGTTTGTAATTGAGATTTTCAATAAAATAGAAATGAAGTTTTAATTTAAATTATGTAATTTGTGTTAGTTATAGATTTTAGTAAGCAAAAAATGGAAGTGTTACAAAGACAACCAAAAACTGTGAAATGACATTACTCACTTTACCAAATACAGCTCGTAAACCATTGATACGCTTGGCATCTGCAAGAGTTGCTTCCTTTGCACTTACATCCAATTCAGCTTTAATTTGCTCATTAACAATTGCCTCAATTCTCCTTAAATTGTCGGCGTCAACAGGCTTGCCTATCATTAAAGCTTAGTAAACAGCAACTCTTTATACTTACAATAATCTAACAGTCCAATTGAACAAACTTTACCATGAGAAAAGTCGAATCTCAATTTTTCAGGTAGAACAATGGATCCTTTCTGGTCAACATGATTGCCAAGTACTTCCTGCATTCAACATAGGAAATTTCAGCAAGCACACAGATCAGTAAGAGGAATGACACGTCTTCATTCAGTGGCCTATATCAGCATACCCTAAGAGCAAAGTTTAACATGTGCGTGCAGGTATGGTTAGGGGCTACGAGGGCACGTCTTCCATAGTCAACCTAAAAAAGTTATGAAATATACAAAATAAATGAGGAATACAGAGAAAAAGAAGTACTGAAAGATAACCAAAAAAAAGTGGAGGTATTTGAAGTAAAAATAAAAAGTAAAAAGAATATATATATATATATATATATATATAATATATATAGACCTTGCATACTACTCTGTCACCAACAGAGACACCGGTCCCATTACCAATGTGAAGAATAAAACCTCCGTAAACTTGAGTATTATGTACTTCAAATGAACCAATTGTACCCTCAAGTGATCCAGTATCAAAAATCTGCATCCGTAATAAAAGGAGAGTGCATCACTTGCATTGAACTAACAAATTCAACTGGTAGACTATTTTATTTTCGGTCCCTGTTTTCATGTCAGTTGGCTAATTCACGGCATATTTGCTTTATATTTTCCATTATCAAAATACATCAAAATATCATGTTCTACACATTATACCTCTGACCATTTTTATTCTACTGTTTCATATGTCAAAGTCATTAATGTTAAAATGCTTCTCTTCTAGTTTTGCTACTATAATATGCTCACGCATACAAATAAAACTACAACGAAATATAACATTATTTATGTGAAAGTTTGAAAGATGGTAAAAATATTATTACTGTGTTAAAGTTTCTATTACACAAAAAGGTCCTATATAAGGAACAATGGACCAGCCCTAAAAGCCCATTATACAATACAATATATTTCAACACTCCCCCTCAAGCTGGAGCATATAGATCATATGCACCAAGCTTGGAACATATACATTGAATCCTAGGCCCCCTTAGAGATTTGGTCATAATGTCTCCGAGTTGTTCATTAGAATTGACAAACTCAGTAACAAGTTCCTTAGTCAACAACTTCTCTCTATTAAAATGACAATCAATTTCTATATGTTTTGTTCTCTCATGAAACACTGGATTGGAGGCAATATGAAGGGCTGCTTGGTTGTCACAGTACAGTTTCAAAGACTCATTTCCACAAAATTTCAACTCTTGGAGAAGTTGCTTGATCCACACAAGTTCGCATGTAGTCAAAGCCATAGATCGGTATTCAGCTTCAGCACTAGATCTAGCAACAACACTTTGTTTCTTACTTCTCCAAGATATAAGGTTCCCTCCAAGTAGAACACAATATCCTGTAGTAGAT